GGGGGCGCAACTAAAGGAATATGTCAGTTTACAGGAATACGATCATAAATAATACACTGCTACAGATTTCACCAACAACCAAACCAAAGAAGACATTAATTTACAGACAAGAAAAGGCAGACTAGAAACAGGCTTACTTATGTGGTGTTGATTCTACCTACAAACAAACCATAGGCACTAACATTCCAGACAAGAAATAGCAGACTAGAAACGGCAGACTAGACACTCAGACTAGAAACAGCATACTTTATTTAGACTCAGGCAATAAATGGCAGACTAGAAACAGCAGACTAGAAGCTCAAACAAGAAATGGCAGACTAAAAACATACCTACGCGTGCAGTGTTGATGCTACCTATAACGAAACCAAAGAAATTAAAATTACAGACAGGAAACAGCAGACTAGAAACTGAAAAGAAATGGCAGATTAAAAACAGACTTACTTGTGCCGTGTTGATGCCACCAGCCGCCTTTGCTATACCTTCTATACAAGTGTTAAGAATGGGGATAATGTTTTTCTCAATCTCGGCACACTGGAACACACACTCTTGCAGCTTGCCGATTCGTTTTTCATCCATGTCTTGCAGGGACTGAAATAGCCATGACACAAGTATGAAATACACATATTCCAAGTGTGAAATACACACATTTACAAGTGTGAAATACACACATTACAAATATGAAATACACGCATTACAAGTGTGAAATACAAACATTACAAGTATGAAATACACATATTACGAGCATGAAAGAAATACAATATAAGCATGAAGATAGCAAAACAATTAGTGTACAATTACAAAATAACCACAGTACAATGACGACAGTACAATAATGAAATAAGCATAATGAGACCACAATACAGTCAGGAAACAATCACAACACAATCACAAAACAACCACATTACAAAGATGGAGAAAAAAAAAAGAACAATCATGAAACAACCATAAAACAGTCATAAAAGAACAGCGAGACAATCATGAAAAAACTGACAATCGTGAAAGCAATAAGAGCTGTTGTACTGCCAGTTTGTTACATATTAAATGGTACAAGTGAGATAATGTAAGTCTTGGAAATGTCTTCAACAGAGCCTTTTAAAAGAGCACAGTAATGTAAAAGACACCAGTCGCTAATCGGAAATTTGATACTAGATGACACCAGATTTGGGGTACAGACCAATCAGCACTCAGCGGGTAATGTGATCAGCAATCAGCCAGTCACCAGAACATAAACCTGGTACCAATTTGAGGTTGGCAATCCTAGGTGCCACTGTCAATTCTAAAAAAAAAAAAAAAACTGCCTCGATGCTGATCCAAACATATTTTTTTTTTTTCTTTTTCACCAGCTGTAAACTGTGGCAGAAAGTTCTGGTTGTTCATCCACTTTTGGACTGCAGTCCTGCTCCAGAACCTGAGTGTTGCGTGTGCATTTGTTTTACAGATCCCAATCATTTGTATGCAGACTGCTGGTTCCTTGCCTCTCAGGTAGATGCACTCTGACTTTGAAGGAAGCTCGCAATTAGTTGACTCCTATGACATGCTTTTGGGTAGGCAGTGGGTCTATTCTTGTTTTCCCTATAACAGGGCTCTGGAACCCACATGTGGAATCCGAACATATGGCCTTTTGGCTGACAGATGAGCGTTTAATTCTCCAATGGGAGACTCAAAGCACAGGAATAAGCTAAAGGGAAAAACAAAATTTGCAATGAATTCTTTACAAGATGGTACAGAACCAACGCATAACTTTTTTGGGCTTTTCTGGTTTTTCTAGACAAATTTACATTCAGTATTTTGCCACTGCTCTCTGAACAGTCAACTCTCGATAGTTTGTCACTGCTTTCTGAACAGTCAACTCTCTATAGTTTGCCACTGCTTTCTGAACAGTCAACTCTCGATGGTTTGCCACAGCTTTCTTAACGGTCGACTCTCGACACCACTGTACTCAAGACGAGATCTGCTGCCAAATCAACTGCAGCTGATGACACAGGGGTCACAAATAGTATAGATACATGGAACACTTGTGGCACTGACTGGGAATAGAACTCCTTCTCATGACATAGGGGTCACAAAAAGTACAGATACCTGGAACACTTGTGGCATTGACTGGGAATAGAACTCATTCTGATGACACAGGGGTCACAAATAGTATAGATACATGGAACACTTGTGGCACTGACTGGGAATAGAACTCCTTCTCATGACATAGGGGTCACAAAAAGTACAGATACCTGGAACACTTGTGGCACTGACTGGGAATAGAACTCCTTCTGATGACACAGGGGTCACAAATAGTATAGATACATGGAACACTTGTGGCCCTGATTGGGAATAGAACTCATTCTGATGACACAGGGGTTGCAAATAGTACAGATACCTGGAACACTTGTGGCACTGACTGGGAATAGAACTCCTTCTCATGACATAGGGGTCACAAAAAGTACAGATACCTGGAACACTTGTGGCACTGACTGGGAATAGAACTCATTCTGATGACACAGGGGTCACAAATAGTATAGATACATGGAACACTTGTGGCATTGACTGGGAATAGAACTCATTCTGATGACACAGGGGTTACAAATAGTACAGATACCTGGAACACTTGTGGCACTGACTGGGAATAGAACTCCTCATGACATAGCGGTCACAAAAAGTACAGATATCTGGAACACTTGTGGCACTGACTGGGAATAGAACTCCTTCTCATGACATAGTGGTCACAAAAAGTACAGATACCTGGAACACTTGTGGCACTGACTGGGAATAGAACTCATTCTGGTGACACAGGGGTCACAAATAGTACAGATACCTGGAACACTTGTGGCATTGACTGGGAACAGAACTCATTCTGATGACACAGGGGTCACAAATAGTACAGATACCTGGAACACTTGTGGCACTGACTGGGAATAGAACTCATTCTGATGACACAGGGGTCACAAATAGTACAGATACCTGGAACACTTGTGGCATTGACTGGGAATAGAACTCATTCTGATGACACAGGGGTCACAAATAGTACAGATACCTGGAACACTTGTGGCATTGACTGGGAATAGAACTCATTCTGATGACACAGGGGTCACAAATAGTACAGATACCTGGAACACTTGTGGCATTGACTGGGAATAGAACTCATTCTGATGACACAGGGGTCACAAATAGTACAGATACCTGGAACACTTGTGGCATTGACTGGGAATAGAACTCATTCTGGTGGCTGTTGTACTGCTGCAAGACTGCTGCATATTCATTCTTGCTCTCCTCATATTGCTGGGTTTTTGTGTTCATCACTATCCGATGCTGGGATACACAACAAGAAATGGATGAGACACACGAGAAGAAACAGATGAGATAAATGAAACGAAATAGATGAGATGTGTGAGAAGAAATAAAGATATACAAGAGACATTATAAATGAAACAAGTGAGAACAAACTGACGAGATACACCAGAAGAAATTGATGACATACAAGAGGAGAAAAAGAGATGCAGAGGAGAAACAGAGACATGTAAGATGAAACAGATAAGACATGTGAAAATAAATAGGCAAGATAAACAAGGAGAAACAGACGTGCTGCATAAGATGAGATACATGAGAAGAAATAGATGAGATACACAGAAAAAAAAATCAGACACATGAGAATAAACTAATGAGATACATGATAATAAATTTATGAGACACATAAGAGAATAAACAAATTAAATACAATAGATGAAATAAAGATAATAAAAAATACCCTAGGTTGTTTCCTGTTCAAGCTCTGAATCACTGTCCCCTCATTTTTTCACTCTATATTTTTTCATAACACACATTGTCTCTGTTAAGCTTCTGAAGGGAAAAGTGAGAACCCATTTTCAAACAGGTTGTATTTGTATTTCTTGTTTCTCATTAGATGGTGTTGACAACCCAGTTTATTTCATGTGCTTCAGTCTCACAAGTACTGTTTTGACCTTATTTTTTCTTCTTCTAATGAAAGCAAATAGTGGTGAGAGACAGGGTGAAACAGACATAACTGAAATAAACAAAGTCACCCAGGGTGATGAGGTAGGCATGACTGAAATAACTAAAGTCACCCAGGGTGATGAAGTAGGCATGACTGAAATAATCAAAGTAGCCCAGGGTGACGAGGTAGGCACGACTGAAATAATCAAAGTCACCCAGAGGGATGAAGTAGGCATGACTAAAACAACCAAAGTCACCCAAGGTGATAAGGTAGGCACGACTGAAATAACCAAAGTCATCAAAGGTGATGAGGTAGGCAAGACTGAAATAACTAAAGTCACCCAGGGTGATGAGGTATGCATGGCTGAAATAACCAAAGTCATCAAAGGTGATGAGGTAGGCAAGACTGAAATAACTAAAATCACCCAGGGTGATGAGGTAGGCACGACTGAAATAATCAAAGTCACCCAGAGGGATAAAGTAAGCATGACTAAAACAACCAAAGTCACCCAGGGTGATGAGGTAGGCACGACTGAAATAACCAAAGTCACCCAGGGTGATGAGGTAGGCACGACTGAAATAACCAAAGTCACCCAGTGATGAAGTAGGCAGGACTGAAATAACCAAAGTCACCCAGGGTGATGAGGTAGGCATGACTGAAATAACCAAAGTCACCCAGTGATGAAGTAGGCACGACTGAAATAACCAAAGTCACCCAGGGTGATGAGGTAGTCATGACTGATATAACCAAAGTCACCCAGGGTGATGAGGTAGGCACAACTGAAATAACCAAATTCACCCAGAGTGATAAAGTAGGCACGACTGAAATAACCAGTCACCCAGAGTGATGAGGTAGTCATGACTGAAATAACCAGAGTCGACTGAAATAACTAGTCACCTAGGGTGATGAAGCATACATGATTGGTGGGGGGGGGGGGGGGGGGGGGGGAAACCAGTCACAGTGGGTGATGAGTTAGTCATTCACGACCAAAACCTTTTGAGTCACATACAGACTGTCGTGTGATATGCGACAAGAGTCCAAGTACAACCATGCTCACCTTTTCCACTTCTGCTCGGGACAAATTGATATCGGCATCTGCCTTCCTGTAGTTATCCAGTGCTCTTTCTGAATCATAATAGGCTTTCTCATATTTTCGTTTTGCCTATTGATTTAAAAAAAAAAAAAAACATAATCTAAAGCTAAACAGTTAATATAAGGATAGATTCGACAGCTGTTACATGGTGTGTGTGTATGCGCATGTGTGCGCACACATGTGTGTATGTGTGCACGTGTCTGTGTGTGTGTGTGCATGTGTGTGTGCGCACGCGCGCACATATTTTACCCAACATATATACATACAAATGTATTATAAATGGTGTGCATATTTGGAAATGCTATGGACATGGATAAAAAAAAGAGGAAAGAAAAACAAAGAAAGAAGTAAATAAAGGAATGAAGAAAGCAAGAAGCAAGAAAGAAATAAAGAAACAAAGAAAGAAATAAAGACTGACAGGCGCCTTGCAGTAAATAATCTAAAACGTGGAAGTCACCCCATCTCGTCGGCGGCGAGATTTTATAGCGGCTCTCATAAGCTGTCCTATGTTGAGACATCTTCCTTTGCCTTCTATACAGTGTTCCGAAAAGTGGCTCAGGTGCGTTAGACAAAATCAACACACCGCACCCCAAACGAAAATGCACAGCTTTCTTTTCTGTGAACTGTTGTTTCTGGAATATGTTACTGTTGTGGTAAGGTCTAAGGCATGGAGGGTGCCTGTGTGCAAGGAAAGTACTGCAGGGGGAAAGCGCCGAACGCGCTACGGTTGGTGAGTATCAAATCATTGATGTTTTTTTTTGGGGGGGGCTCGCTGACGATGGCAACAGGCATCGAGGGTGGGTGTGATTAAAATGGTCAAAAACAACAAAGACATGATGCCCCTAGACTGCAGGAGTGTTCCATGAAATCCCCTACAAAATCACACGGCAGACAAGATGGGGTGACTTTCACGAGTTGTACCAAAGTTTCACTATGCAGGCAACCTACTAAAACCAACAAACAAACAAAAGTGAAGAAGTTCAACAAACTGGAGACATACCTTCTCTAGAAGGGCCTGACTTTGCTTAAGCTGGTCCTGCAGTCGGACACCATCAGTCAAATGCTGAAATAAAAGAAAGCATCTCTGCTAACAAAGTTCAACAGTCAACAGGGTGTCTTCTAGGCTTCCTAATCAGGAATTGTAAAATCTAATACCATTGTCAAGAGGACCACAAGTAAGCAGCCATTATTTGTTCCTTATTGAGATTCTTCATGCATCAACATGGATGCTGATATTGCAAATGAAGAGCAGGGAATGAAAGTGAGTAGTGTATTGAAGTACTCTGGATTCTCCATTATCATCACCTGTCATCTTAAAGCCTTAAAAATCTCTGTATTGCCTGCCTTTGATGATGCTGTGGAATCTCTGAGGTTACATCAGTTGCAGTTGGACAGTGTTGGCCTATTTCATGTTTTCCGGTCTATTTCACAGTACTACATTCCTCTCAACTTTAATACACTGTATGACTGGTTTCAGTCCTATTCTAATTTCTTCATTTTTTTAAATTTATCTTTTCTTTTTATTCCAGCAGCTCTGATAAGACATCTTTTTTTTTGTTTGTTTTGTTATAATTCTCCATTAAGTTTGTGTAATATTGTTCCATGTCTGACACAGGTAGCAGAGAGTTGACCAAACAAAATAATTACCATCAGATTCCCTGTAAATTACATTGATCAAATAGCCTAGTTACATAACAGCCTTGATTATCCTATTTGCCAACACCAAGAATGACCAGGTGACATATAACAAACAGCATCATAAATGACCAGTTAACATCACAAACAGGACCAAGAATGACCAGTTAACATATAACAAACAGCACCAAGAATGACGAGTTAACATCACAAACAGGACCAAGAATGGCCAGTTAATATATAACAAAACAGGACCAAGAATGGCCAGTTAACATATAACAAACAGCACCAAGAATGGCCAGTTAACATATAACAAACAGCACCAAGAATGGCCAGTTAACATATAACAAACAGCACCAAGAATGACGAGTTAACATATAACAAACAGCACCAAGAATGGCCAGTTAACATATAACAAACAGCACCAAGAATGGCCAGTTAACATATAACAAACAGCACCAAGAATGACGAGTTAACATATAACAAACAGCACCAAGAATTACCAGTTAACATATAACAAACAGCACCATGAATGGCCAGTTAACATCACAATTAGGACCAAGAATGGCCAGTTAACATCACAATTAGGACCAAGAATGGCCAGTTAACATATAACAAACAGCACCAAGAATGGCCAGTTAACATATAACAAACAGTACCAAGAATGGTCAGTTAACACAACATAACATGATCCTGACTGACCTGTTATCATATAACAAACAGTACACACCTTTTTCCGGTCAGTTTTGAGCTCCAATATAAGGTCCTGCATATTTTTAATGACAGCCCCCTGTAGATTCTCAGCCACCACCTCGTGCTGCCCTGCCATGTCAAAAATTTCCTTGAGCATGTCCACAAAGGCATGAGACCATGTGAATCTGCCAGAGAGAGATTACATCTTAAGCTTTTGAAAAACTGGCAGATTTTTTTTTTTTTTTTTAATGTATATTCCACAGTTCCTTGTTGTGTATGTTTTAAATGTATAAATTTCTCAGTTAAATGTTGAATTAAGAGTGACATCACAGCATTTGGGACATTCCCATTAGCAGCTCCGTCCCCATCTTCAGCAGCAAGTTCCAATTCTGGAATTTTCTCAGAAGAGAATGAAAGAAATGAGGAGTTATGTATAAAGGCTCTGCAAGCAGCAAGCATAGGCACCACAGCCTGGAGGCTCGGGCCCTATGAGGCTCACCAGAAAATATTTGGGGGAAGAAAGGCAGCTGTGTGTGTGTTGGGGAGGGGGGTGGTGAATGCTCCTTAGAACATTTGTAAGGACACTAGGCCCCCACCCCTGCCAGCGCCCTCTCCTTAACTCCTTGAAGGCCCAATGAACACAAGATGCACCAATTTTACATCTCTTTTGACTACCCCTTGGGCCTCTGATGCTAAACCCCCTGGGACTCAAAGAGTTAACCATGTAAAGAAGTTCTCTGTTTAAGCATCTTTTTAAACATTTCATACTAATTATTTTTAAAATATTATAATTATTATTTGTCTTATTTGCCACTCAGCACATTAGATTCAAACATACATCAATGCACTCATGCCCAGACACAAAAACACACACACATATAATTTACACTTTCAACAAGGCCACCCCCCCCCCCCCCCCCCCCCCCCCCAACCCCCCCCCCCCCCCCCCCCCCCCCCCCCCCCCCCCCCTCCGAGTGTTTCTTCATGTGGGTGAGACCCTGTGTGAAATTTAGTATTTGTTTATATAGCTGGAAACTGCAACACAAAACAGGTAATAAATTTAATTTAAAACAACATGCCTGTCTATATATGTTATGTCTGTCTGTGTGCATGTACCTATTTACTTACGTGTGTATACATTTCAATCTGGAAAGATCAGTCGTGAAAAAAATATCTTAGGAGAGAACAAGCTAATGATTCATTATGACAAGCTGTGGTTGGAGTTCTTTGTACTGTACCTTACCACAGGATACTTAAACAGTAAAACTGCGCCCACAGATTGAGCAAGCACAAATGTAGATTCCATACGGCTTGTGGTTAGGATACAACAAGAGGGACTAACGAAGCTACCAAGAAAAGTATGTAACCAGAACCTGGATAAAAATAAATGAGAGTGGCACTGGATAGGCAACCGTTGACCATCCGTCAAATCTCTTCTGCTAACTCCCCTATGAAATATACTGTGTGTAAAGCACATTTTCAGCCACATTCAGGCATACTAAGCACATAAAGCTAGACTTACATTTCACAGAGCAATCAGCACTTGGTGGGGGATGTGAACAACAACACATAGGCCACCTGTACTTCCCATGACTTTACCTGATACCCATTTCAGCCTGGGGTCGACCTGGGAGCCAAGGCCATTTTCTTAAGACCAGCTCTGTCAGGACCAAAACCCATGACCTTCAAATCCACAGGTGAGCATCTCGCCGCTACACCATGGTGTAATGGCTAGACGTCATGGTAGCCATGTGAAGAGATTTTAAGTAAACAATAAAAACAAAACACAAAAAATTGGGCAAATATGTATTTGTGAAATAAAGCTCAGTGATCTAAGACGACGATGTGCAGAATTATAATCAATAAAATCAGCTGAGAGATATTACATATGCCATCTGGCAATGACAGCCACAGAAGCGAAGTGGCTATTGGTAGCTATTTATCAGCTCAGTTCAATTCAGAGGCCAAAATGTTGTAAATGGGGATTGTCACAGGCCAGAGGCAACACCCCAAAATAGAATGATCACTAAGGCTATGCAGCTGGCAATGATCTGCAGGCCATTTGCAATGCCTCTATGGACAGTCGGGTGAACAGTTCTTGGGTAGAGCAGTGGCTCTCAACCTTCCTAATGCCACAGCCCTTTCATAAACTTCTCTCATGTTTGTGGCGACCCCACACAATTATTTTCCTCAACTTCAAAACTTCAATGAATGCGTTTTCCTATGGTCTTAGGCGACCCTGTTAAAGGGTTGTTCGACACAAAAACAGGGTCGTGATCAGCCAGTTGAGAACCTCTAGGCTAGAGGCACTACCTTCTGGTTGAAGATCTTTGGTTCACACCCGCATGAAGTGTGAAGTCAACTTCCCCCCCCCCCCCCCCCCCCCCCACAAACTTACCCTGGCTCCTAGATAGACCCGGCCTAAAACTGGTACTAGGCAGTGTCACGGGATGTAAAGGCGGCAGGCACTATGCTGACCACATCTCCCACGAAGAACCAATTGGTCTATAAAAAATATGATTCTAGCACCACATGCCTAATGCACCAAATAAAAAGAGCCCATTCGTGATCGGCGACCAGGTGGCCCATTGGCTCGCCCATAAACGACTTTGTCCCCGGTCGAGACAGTATTGGGCCTGTCTCCTCTGATCACATCAACACTGCAGGAGTCCTTTACAGGGCTCTTGGTGGTGTGCAATGCTCAGCCATTTTTAATGGCACACATAATCTAGTCACAATTATAGCCTAAAGCTCCCCCCTTCAGGGATGCTGGTTAAACGAGACGATTTGTTTTCCTGCTAAGCACCTAGCTACATAAAATGCATGTGTAAACAAAGAAGACCAACACAATGACGACAATAACACAAGCCATAGTTGACTGTAAAAACAAATGAAAACCATATACGGCAGTGACTTCAAGACTGAATAATAAGGACCTTTTTACGCGCATTTAGTAGGTGTACATGGCATATAGGGTTAGACCTAAAGGCAAAGGAGCCCGTTATATTACTTTACTTACGTGTAATCATCCTCCTCTCTCTTCTTTGGCTGGAAGTTCTTGACTAATTTTCTGCAAGAAAGAAAACAGAAAAATCTTATATATGTGGCTAGAGTGTTGTTTCTGATAGCTGAAGCACCACAGTAACATCCATTTGATTTATTTGCTGGGTTTTAATTACTATAATCGCTGAGGAAGTGGTTTCACATAAACAGAAGTCGATGCAAATAACGACCAATATTCTGACAGCTCTGTAAATCAGCGATTGATTTTTTTTAATGTGATTAGTCAAAATATATTTGGCCCCCCACATAGACTTTTCAGGACTCGCCCTGGCGTAGTGGCTAGACACCTGCATTCGGATCAGAAGGTCGTGTCTTTGCTCACTGGCGGAGCGGGACTTGTTTCAAAAATGACCATAGCTTCCATGTTGATCCAGCATTGAGTGGGTACCGGGTGCAGTCCCCAGAAGTGAAGGCGACCGGCGTGATGCTGACCACATCACTCATCTTGTGTGGTTGGTCTTTAAAATATAGGTCTAGCTCTAGATACCCAATACGCCTGAAAAGCGTGGAAATGGGTTCTTTACTCTACTTGAACTTTTCGGCGGGCCAGCAGTCGGTCGCGGCTCATGGGTTGAAGAACATTGCCATAGAACAGTGCTTCTCAAAATTCCCAATGCAGCGACCCTTTAATACAGTTCCTCCTGTTGTGACGACCCCCAACCATAAAATTATTTTCGTTGCTACTTCGTAACTTAGTGAATGTGTGTTTTCCGATTATCTTAGGCGACCCCTGTGAAAGGATCGTTTGACCCACAAAAGGTTCGCGACCCATGGGTTGAGAACAGCTTCTCTAGAACATGTGTAAGGTACCTCCTCCCCAAGTTTTCTTTGCTGGTGCCCTTGATGCTGGGTTTTTCAATACTGTTGCTTTGGGTTTAGTACCGGTTAGGGTTCACTTTCATAACACAATAGTACTGGCTGGCTCTTGTCTCTACTCACAGGTACAGCCCCCTTAACTACGGATGTGACAGTCAGCGAGATGAAAATATAAAAGATCCAGTGTCCTTTGGCGGCAAACTGCGCGAAATGTAATTTCTGTTTTCTACACAGGAATGAAAAAAATATAATAACGAGACAGGGGGGAACACAGAGAGGGTGGCATTTTTAAAGGGTCACAAACTGGTCACGCGGGTCCGTAGTTCTAACCAGAATGCAAGTAGGCAGGTAGGTTGGCAGGAGGGAAATGTATGCAGGTTGGGTAGTTAGGAATGCGGGATGAAAGATACGCAGGCAGGTAGGTGAGTAGGTTGTATGCGGGCAGATATGTCGTAGACGTGCAAGTAGGCAGATAGGTAGGCATGACGTGAGGAATGCTGTGAGATACGCAGGCATGTAGGCAGAATGGACAGGCCGACAAACAACGATGTTTGCAAAGGAGTGTGTAAAACGATAGTAATGCAAGCAGGCGACCATACACAATCTAGTGTTCAATGAAGCCAAGCACGTCAAACTGGTGACTCCCTGGCCCCGGTATTACTAATCACAGTGCACATCGATCGTCCGGCTTAGCCAGCGTGTCCCGTCCCAGTCACAGATGTCCCCTCGTCCGACAGCATTTAATCCTCGTATTCATAAAACGGTCGTTTAGCTATCGCTAATCACATTGCAGGTGATAGAATATAACATGTCTGCCTAAGAAGAACCGCATTTGAGTGTCATGAGCGTGTTTGGAATCAGCTGATTGCTTGCTCTGAATGAATGGAACCGAGTGCCATGCAGAATGGAACACAGTGCTAGCTGAATGGAAACAAGTGTCTAGCGGAATTGAACACGACGCTAGCTGAATGAAAACAGGTGCCTAGCGGAATGAAACATAATGCTAGCTGAATGGAAACAAGTGCCTAGCGGAATATAACACAACGCTAGCTGATTGGAAACAAGTGCCTAGCGGAATGGAACACAACGCTAGCTGATTGGAAACAAGTGCCTAGCGGAATGGAACACAATGCTAGCTGAATGGAAACAAGTTCTTAGCGGAATATAACACAACGCTAGCTGATTGGAAACAAGTGCCTAGCGGAATGGAACACAACGCTAGCTGATTGGAAACAAGTGCCTAGCGGAATGGAACACAATGCTAGCTGAATGGAAACAAGTTCTTAGCAGAATGGAACACAGTGCTAGCTGAAATGAAAACAAGTGCCTAGCATAATGGAATACAACGCTAGCTGAATGGAAACAAGTGCCTAGCGAAATAGAAAACATTGCAAGGCAAAACGCTAAGCAACTTCGGCACGGAGACCCCTGTCTCACAGGGGGTGACACATAGCTCTACTGACAGCAAGGTGTCGTCTAGTATTGAAAGAAATAGAAGATGGAATGAGAAGAGGAGGGGGCGACGAAAAAAGAAGAGCATGGGCTGGTAATAGCTGACAAAACAACGACACAAAGGGGAGAAAAAGTAAGCGAAAATCACGCACTACCTGGGACCCAAACCTTTTCGGAGTAACAGACTAGAGAGCTATCCAAAATCTAACAGGATACAGAAACAATATTGTCTTTTAATTCCTTTACCGAATATATATTTGTCCATTTTTGTATGTTTACTCAGTCTCTTTACACAGCTACCCATGTATACATCACAGGGAAGTTAGCATAAGAGATGCGATGGGTGGTCAAAGGTTACGTATCTAGTGCCTGCCTCGTTAAAACTAATTCAGGTTTTGGTTACAAAGCTTGGTAGCTTCGTTAGTCTCATTGTTTTCTAACCAAAAACGGTACGGAATCTGCGCCTGTGCAGGCTCAATCGGTGGGCGCAGTTGCTTATCTGCTTTTTAAGTACCAACTCGCTAAATACAGCACGAAGCAACTCCAACCAGCAGCGTGACAGTCTGGCAATGATTACATATTTCTGTCTATAATTACAACACAGGTAGCTCTGTTTTTATCGTTCTCATTTGAGGCTGTTTTGTATTCAGATGTTTTATTCCTGCCGCTGTTTGACGTACAGAAAGAAAGAAAAACGTTTGAAAATATCTCTCTGAGACAGGCGTCGGGTTTTCTCAGGTAATCCAAACGACCTCAAGTTTTGCTGTTATCACGGATGGAGTGTGGAAGCATTCACGTACAGGTGTATTACAATCCAGGACAGTAGCATGCTCTGTTCCCCATGCGGGTTCCAGACAGGGCTGCCAATGGGATTTTTTTGAAAAACCCAGCTTCGCTAAACAAAAACCCAAGCAATACATAGACAAAGAACAACAAACAAACAACAACAAAAACCCAGATTGTTAAAATATACAAAATTTGTAGTTACGAAACGAAACATTTACAACTTTCATATAAGGATATATTTAAACAAATTAAACACTTCCCCAAGTCGTCAAATAAAAACCCAGATCTGGGGGGGACAAACCCAGCATTGGCAGCCCTGGTTCCAGAACATCATTTTGGGGAAGGAGGAGGAACAGACCCACTGCCATCTAACAAGCATGTCGTAAAAGGTGACAAATTAGGGGTGTTTTATTCGAAGTCGGAGCGCGTCTGCCTGAGAGAAGAAGAATGAGAAGTCTGCACACAAATAAACCAAATATGTAAAACATCTGCACGCACAACACAGGTTCTAAAACAAGGCAAAGGTCGAGAAGTAGACGAACAAGTAGAACTCTTCGTCATGGTTTATAGCCGAAGAAGAAGAAGAAGAAGAAGAAGAAGAAGAAGAAGAAGAAGAAGAAAAGAAGAAGAAGAAAAGAAGAAGAAGAAGAAGAAGAAGAAGAAGAAGAAGAAGAAGAAGAAGAAGAAGAAGAAGAAGAAGAAGAAGAAGAAGAAGAAGAAGAAGAAGAAGAAGAAGAAGAAGAAGGAGGAGGAGGTAATGTGTGAAACTGAACAAAAACCATATATTTAAATAACCTGTGCTTGTGTGTGTGTGTTTTCACAAGCGCGTGAGAGCCGAATAAACTGTTAGAAATAATGAAATCGATATTTAAAACGCCCTCATTAGGCTGAGGAAATCCACTGTATGTCACTGGCATTTCCGAGGAAATACCCCGAGTTTTTCAGCCACTAAATATAGCCCGCATCGATTCGTTCGCTTACTGTTAACCTCTATCTTGCTGGCGATGACCAGTTCGATAATCGTTTAGCAAGAATCGGATTGGCTGTCTTGTGTTAATTTCGACACATCCGACTTCGTTGCATTGTTTATCCCACAAGACTCCCATTTTACTCGACACAAAGGCTAGCCGCTTGCCCAAAGCCACGCACAAGTATGGAATCCGTATCCCCAGGGATTTCATAAAAACCGCCCTTGTGAATTAATTAGATGACGCCCCTCTCCCTCGTTCTTCCAGGCGATAATTCTATGTGATAAAAGTATTGTGTCCAGACCGTGAAACATTGTTAAAACATCGGTCCTGTTAACGTTCCCGGCCCATCTACACACTGCCTGACCTTTCATTCATACTCTCTCAAACTCTTCTACGTCGGAGGAGTGTCACGCTGTCTTCCCTCCAATTACATCAGCGCCGATGTCGCATGCTACACGACGAGACAGCTAATAACGACCCCAGAACATGTAAAACTGGCCCTAACCGAAACCCCCTACCCATAACCTCAACCTAGGTCACAAGAGAGACTTTTCGAAGAAAGCAGTACAAAGTTACACCCCTCTGACCTAGATCAGACTGAGAAAACGGGCCGGAAAACGTGAACAGGTCTAAAACATAAATCGTACACTAGTCGTACACACACACACAAACTTAAAGCACAATGTTTATAGGGGACATAGATAGCGCAAGAGACGGGGAAGGGAAGGGAGAGAGGTTGATGATGATGATGGACTTTACTTTTGAGTACCGGCTTTATGACTCAGTCTCAGGACTGCCGAAATTTCTGGGGTAGCGAATACCAAAAAGTACTTAATTTTTAACAGAAAAAAAAACCACAGTTAAAACGTCTGTAAACACACATAAATAACCAGATTACCACACATAATTGTTTTTTTTTTTTTAACTGTATGATTAAAACAGACAGGAAAACTATTACCGTAATAAAAAAATATACTTCTGA